TTGTTTACAGGACACGAACTACTGTCTGCCCCGTGACAGTCACCAAGACCATCGCCGGTGAGGTTGTCACTCAGACATACACAACCACCAGCGTCATCGAGGAGGTCGTCAAGTCCACTGACTACGAGCACGTTAAGCAGCCCGATGTGACCAAGTTTGAGACCGATGTTGTCTACCACACCAAGACCAATGTCTACCCAGTCACCGTCACCAACACTATTGCCGGCGAGGTCATCACCAAGGTCTACACCTCTACTGAGTACGTTGTTGAGAAGGTCCACACCACCGTATACGACCAGGTCAAGAAGCCCGATGTTACCAAGCACGAGACAGATGTTGTCTACCACACCAAGTACGAGGTTTATCCCGTCACTGTCACCAAGACCGTTGAGGGTGAGGTTATCACCAACGTTATCACTTCCACTTCTGTCATCGTCGAAAAGGTTGCCACTACCGTGCCCGCTGTCGAGACCATTGTCAAGACCATTGGCAAGGGCGAGGTCGTCACCCAGTACTCCAAGATTTACCACACCGTAGGTGGCGGTACCGTCTACGAGACTGTCGCTCCTCAGCCCACCACTGTCCAGGCTCCCGAGACCGAGGTCGTCACCCAGCCTGAGGTCACCGTCCCTGCCACTCCCACCATCGCCCCTAAACCCGTTGCTACTGGCGCTGCCGCCGCCAAAAAGGCTCCCGTCTTTGCCTTCATGGCTGGTATCCTCGGTGCCGTCGCTCTCATCTAAAAAGCATGAGTCATTTAACTCAAACCCAATAGCGCCGCCGGATTGGTTCTTGTTTTATTCTTTTTTACCCCTTTACTTCTCGTAAAAATCGCTTGTCCCTGGCAGCAGAGCACAGACTATTTAATTCATCGCGAGCCGTTGGAATCGCATACGTACACTCCTTTGCAGGACATGGCGAGGTAGAATTGGGAGGATGCTTATTTTGGTGTATTTAATGTCGCGGAAGAGGGTGGTTTGTTATTCCTTATCTTCACTTCTAATGTATATATTGATCTCTTGGCTTATATGATGATATATGGGAGGGCACGAGATAGGATAGGATAGGATAGGATATGTAGTTAATCTGGAGACGTGTCGTTGGACTATCTATGCCTTCTCTAATGCTTCCTTGTGGTACCTGGCCATGACTATTCATGGCGATCACTACTGAATACGACAATGGCTTAAAGTATAAGCTTAGACTTAAGGACGATTAAGTTCACCCGGAAACCTTAGTTTGACAACCCGTACTATAAATCGAAAGGCTGGAAAGGCGTTGAGGCTTGACGCCTTTATGTTCTATTAATGGTCATTTCGAAGATGCTCTGAACGCATGTGAGAACAAATGAACCTCCAACCTTAATCTTTCTTGCCAAGATCCAACGAAGATCTTCTAGAAATACCCCTTTTGTCTGTACCGTGGCCATCGCCCAACCTCCCTAATCTCACCAAAGCTCTGTCCACGCCTGTCCATGTCTGAGGTTCAAATAACCTCGCCCCAGAGAGCAAGAGAAGCTCTAACCTTAAACCAAGGTGCTAGAAAGAATTAGTCCAGACTCCCCCTACACAATACTGAACTTAACTAAGTCTTTTTTTCTTCTTTTTTCTTTTTCGTTTAGAGTACGTCCCAAGTTTCTTGCTTCTTCTAGCTTGGATTATATATAAACCCGATGATCTTTTGTGTATACCCTCAGTCACGAAGAAATCTCTAGTGTAGGTAGAAGTGAGCGACTGGTGGCGTTCAAAAAGATGGTTGGCTTTGTAGATCTTCGAGTCCCTCCAATGCCATTTCAACATCATGATCATCGGTGGTGCTCACGTCCAGCGGTACCGTGAAAGTACTTGTGACGAGGGGAATGGATAGAGGTTCATCGGGGTTATAGACGATACCGAAATATTCCTGCCCCAAAAGGCAATCTTTGATGCAGTATCGTCGGAACTCCTTTGTGATATACACCTCCGAGATGTGGCATGTATCCTTGATGCAGGTTGGACTTGTGGGGAGGACTATCTATCTGTTAGCTTTTGCTTTCCCAGTGAAGGGGAAAGGGGTTGACCAACTGTCTCGAACGAGAACAGCGTTCCGGTGATCCGAACATGTTTCTGTCTGGTGCAGCTGGACATGATAGTTTGAACCACTCCGTGGGGAAAACGTAGCCTCCCAGGAGACATTTGCTAAGTTTGCCCCTGAACCAGTCTCAAAGTTCAGATTCAGCACCTTAGAGTGAAGCTCTTCTCGTGTATAGTCCAGCAACCTCCGTCTCGCAATGGCTTTTTGTCGGTCAAAGGACTCTTTGCCAATGACGACCTGCTTGAGGACGAAATGAAACAGGATGCTCGGAATTGCCACCATCAAATCCGCCAGTGACGCATCTCTCAGAACGTCAAAGCTCAGCCCCAAATTTCTCCGATCGAGCCACTTGTTGGGTACTCTGACGACATCATCGTCAACTAAAATAGTCCAATGAGGAAACCGTAGTGCGTCGAAAAACATGACGCGGAGAGTTTCTGTATGTTTACATGCAAATAGACAGGACTGAAGAGCCTTGTCGACAAATACGGCGAATTGAGTATCAGGTATAGAAACTGGCTCTTCTTTAAGCAATCGAGGAATATGATTGTACAACTTTCTATAGAACGTGTTGTAGGGCTTCAAGATAGACCAGTACGAGTCTGGCAATTCTACTGCCTGTCGACCAAAGTTCGGGAGATTGATTTCGTATTCGGGGTTCTATTCAAGGATTGTTAGCAAGCACATACCAAGCCGAAAGCCTTAGCAATCCAGGACACACCGGCCTTGAGCTGGTGGGATAGTACCACTTTGAGCGATCAAGAAATAGATAATCTCCGAGAAGAAAGATGGTGTCTCTCTTGATGAATTGTGCCGCCAGCTCAACATCTCCCCAGCCCCAGTCGTCGAGCAAGCTGCTGAGGTGCCCCACGAGATGAGGTCTCTGCTTCAACGCCAGATCCTAGATGGACATGATAGCTTGACACTCTTCCTCAAGCGAACTCATGTGCTTCATCTTCTCATTTGGAGTTCCGTAGAGGATGTTGTAACCGAATCTGAGCGGCCTCTCCGACAAGCTGGCATAACCCCTGCGGGTCGTGTCACTCAGGAGAAAACCTTTGAGGTAGATTTTGCCACGAAGCTTGGAATCGAGGATCAGATCACCCATCTCAGTCTTGACGATATAATCATCCTTGATTTCCTGTAGAAACAAGGCGGGTTCGCACCACGTGTTGAACTCTTTGGGGGTGACCTTCGAACGGTATATGTATCTGCCTCGCCCGCCTCTCCCTAGTGCGTTACTGTCAGCGCCGATGGTGAAGATGGTGTCAGTTTTCGGATGCGGCTGAAACGGGACATATCGGCTGCCCTGTGGGACTGTAGATCGTCGAAACTCGTTGATTTTGTCTTGGTTCATGGCTGTAAGAAAGGCCTTGAGCCCGCCATCTGGGTCAAAGTTGAACTTGTATTTGTAACTACCCGTTCTGCAGGTGACACCATGGTTTGTACCGGCTCCTAAAAAGTTGAGAACGGCTCTTCCCAAGCCGAGCTCTGGACGGTGGGTGAATCGAACATCTCGGGGTTCCTTGGGGGGCTCGACGTCAGGGAGTACCATCTTCGGCTGCAGAGTCACGTCTCGTACGGCGACTGTAACGGTGCCGCCCTTGCCATCTCTGCTGTTCATGAAGTGAATATAACCAAGCGGTTTTCCAGATCCATCTTGCGCAGTGAAAGCGAACTCCGCGGGGATCTTTGCATCGGGAGGGTTTCCACGCTTTTCCATGGCGACGTTAAAGTCGGTCAGCTGCAAGCCAAAAGACTCGATGATTCTGTCTTTCCTATAACAAGTCATGTCAGCTTCAGTGATCAGGCTTAGATATTACTGTGACTTACCACCAACGGAGTAGCTCGCAGAATGACTCTTGGGCCGTCAAGCGGGGGTTCTGAGCTGTGAGCCCAGTACTCATGACGCATCTTGGTGCAATTTGGTCCAGCGTAGGTATTCCCTTTCTCTCTTCTTTCTTTTCGGCGGGAACGGCATCTATGATTATCTCATCCTGCGCGAGTGCATCGCCGAGTGTTGGATCACTCTCGGAATTGTTCTGGCCTGACATCTTCAAAGTATGGTCGAGGAACTAAGCCGCCAGGCATACAAAAAATGACAAGAAATGGAATATAAAAGGTGAGAAATTATGGCATATTTGAGAAGTTCTAAAGACTGCTCATCTTGGTCGGCCACGGATGTAGATGTAGGAATAGTACGATGGAACGGGAACCCGCTTCAGCAGCCGGAAAGGAAACGCAGACTCCCACTGAGCAGACCTAGACCGCCCGCCCTAAGTAGCATGTATTGTATTTTTATGTAATACCCGTCCAGAGAAAAGAAACATAAGCCAGAACCCATTAATACTCAACTGCCACAGAGTACCAAGCCACATTCACACTACTGCGAGTATAGCTTCCTGAACTCCTTTGCAGCTGAAGAAATCATTTTCAACTCCTTCTTCAGGATTCCTTCATAGACGTCTCGGCCAAAGGTGTCCTTGATATTTCTAGAGTACCAACGCATGCGTTCATGCGAGGATATCGCCCTACAACCGGTCTTGTCATGCTCATCTGCAACATTATTGAAGAACGTAGCGACCGCTTCCTTGTTGACATCTTGGTGCTTGCCTGAAGCCACGGGCCACAGCACTTGGTCTACCACAGGCTATGATGAAGTTATCGTTAGTCGTGCTATAGAAACAAGAGCATAGTCTGTTACTTACAAGCCCTTCTTCCAACCCAGATTTCTCTATTGCCTTCCACTTGGAGTCGTACCGTTTCAAAGCCTTCAGGGGATGAACATCATCATCGTCACTACTATCGCTCTCTGAGTCCGAGTCAGACTCAAACTCAGACCCAGACTCAGAAGGGATGTCTCTGGCTTGAAGCCGGCGCCCAGATCTCCCCGAGTTCGCGGCAGATCCTTCGGCTAACTCGGCTCCTCGACGAGTCACAGGAAGCGGAAATGGAGTGAAGAACTGGACGGTTGTCTTCCGAAGAATGCCGGGCCGCTTCTGGGGAGCGGGCTTCTCCCGCTGGTTCATGTTAAGAGTCAAGCACGATAACGTGAACAGGACAGTTACATACCTTGATTCGGGCCGCCTCTGCTTCCTTCGCCGCCTCCGCTGCATCTTGAAACTTCTGCGAAGCATCCTCTAGCTCCTTATCGAAATCAGTGTGCTTGTGGTGATGGCACAGAAGGAGTCTCACAGCCTCTTCTAGGCGTGGATGGTCAGCCCGCTGCTCCAAGGGAACACTGTTCAACCGCATCATGAGGTGCTCATGCTCCCTCACTTTGGCGACACCTATGACCATGTTACAGGGGCGACCTTGTGACCTTGCGAAGCCAATACATTTAACTCCTTCCCGATAGCTATGTGGAAACACAGTTTTCGAGTCCAGAATTTGATCCGACGCAGTGGCCATGACGGCGTCCTAGAGACAGATAGGGGCTGCGATGAACGATCGATAGGTAAGATGACCGATGAAGATATAGCGTTGGTCCAGACAATGTTATTAGTGATTGGCTATTGCTCAGCAGCAAGATGATATCTAGTGACCAGGAGACTCAGGGGCATACCATTCAACTTATACCGGGGACTCAATACACTAAAGCAGAAATGTTCTTTGAGACTCTGATATCAGTCATCCATTAACCTCAAACAGCATGCTGCCGGCTTCCATGACATGGCTCAGCCATGTCGTTGAATGAACAAAGACCCTGCATCCTCATGTCTATTTTAGAGTCCGCAGCTAACATGTCCACAAAGTGATATCTGATGGAGCTTGTCTTACGGGAAACGCGAAGTCGACGGAGCGTTGGCTTGTCTTCACTAGAAATACTATAACTAATTAAGATCTACCAATAGAACGACTCATGGAAATGGAATTCATTGCTCGGATCAGACGGTGCTCTCCCCGACGGCAAGCTGCAGGCACTATACCAAATTCCCGATTGTCACATTCATGCATGGTAGGGGTGTTGTGACCTCCACAAAGCAAACATTTCACTGAGACGTTTACCCATGGACTTGTCCACAGTCATGAAATGAACAAGTGGCATTAGAATGATGGTATCCTGCAGTGTCAGCGTGTCCAACATCTGAGTGTCTACCTCGTGTATATGCAGCTTGCCCCATATTCAAGCTACAAAAGATGAAAGGGTCCATTTTCCAGGTCTTTACAACCTGAGAAACAGTACTGAAGCCAATACTTTGCTACATTCATTGATAATATGCTCATCCTGGACAAACTGGCTCGCATGCCGGCGGTGAGAATCGGCCACTCTTTGAGACTGAAAATTTACGCGGGAAGTTGCAGGCTATTGGACGGTGAATGGAGTTAAAATGTCTTTTGTCCTTCGCGTTCTAAAATGTGGAGGCTTTGGCACTTCACAGAGGAGATAGTGATCAATGAGTGGGCAGTTGTTTCTCGTAAGGTAGCTTGATGTCGTTGCAAGAGGCTCATGTCACTGATAAGAGTTGATACCCCACCTGCCCACCCCACCTTTCCATACCCCACTTCCCGTCCCAAGCAGGGATCCGGAGTAGTAATTAGTCCGCCCTGCACTTTATTCATGGAGCTTAAGGTAACCTTAGACAAAGCGTCGCATAGCATTCAGAGTATCATATCTCTAACCCGCCAAGGCTCGTCCAATCCATACTCACGACACCTTCACCATGGCACCTGTCGATCGCGTAGACCACAATGCCCTTGAGCGTAGGTATCATGATATTCCGAATCGTCAACGTGCGTTAACCCCCTCGTAGAACAGCTCAAGGACATCATCCAAGATCTATACCAAATAATGGTACAAGTCTCAACTTACGACTCTGTCGGCCGATCCAGTAGAGAAGTTCTCATCAACGAAATGTAACATCTCTTCTCACTCTCCCCTTTGAAACCCCAACTAAGAATATACAGCAAAACCCTCTCCGACTCCCTTCGCACTGTTCACTCCTCCGCCTCTCCCCCAAACAACTTGCCTTCAGTGCCCCCAGAACTTGTCGAGTATGTCGAGCACGGCCGTAACCCAGATATTTACACCCGAGAATTCGTTGAGCTCGTGCGTCGAGGGAACCAGCTTATGCGCGGCAAACTCAACGCCTTTGGAACCTTTCGCGACATCTTGGCGGAGAACATCACCACGGCCATGCCCGAGTTGCGCGACGATGTGGCCCAGGTCGTCGAGGCCACTGGAGGCGTGCCACCTGGAAGGAGAAATGGTGAGCAGCCGCAACAGAATGGCAATGCTACCAACCATGCCTCGTCGTCTGCTGCTTGAGAGGTTGCCAAAATTGGATGACCATGATCATTCACCATGTTGCTCAGGCTACGAGCATGTTTATTTCAAGCGGTTGCGGTTACGGCACCGCGGATTCTATGATACCCCAAGCGAGCGTAATGCCGCGCAACTTAATGCAATATTTCTGGTGCCAGCAGCGTTAAATGCCGTGATTCAATATTTGTCGTCGACAGCTGCCATGAGGAGTTTATATCAACATTGACAAGCAAGCTCACACAATGACAAGGATCATTAGCATTGAGATCTTCATAAATGCGTGGCATGAGCAGAACTTTTGCCGACAACCATCTATTATGCCAAGATGTGACATTATATGCGTGAAACACCCCAGGAACCGATCTAAAGGGTCCGCGACCATCCCAGGCCTTCAAACCCTAATAACAAGCAACTCGCTAACCTCTAGCATTGCTCTGCATTCATTGATGTCTATCCCTAAAATAAACGCCCCAATGGTATGTTGTGTGGCATAGGATGAGTGAAAAGTGCCCAGTATAAGTGCTAGCCGTTCACAACGATAACGGCTTTTTCCTGCCAAAGAGTGGAATGTGCTTCATGCATATATATGCTGAACCAACCAGCGTCAAAATGAGGATCACCACTTGCCAAGGGAGCAAGACAGCTGCCGCCATGAAGAACTTGCCGTATCGTCGTACGGCATCTACCAGCCGGCCATGGGCATCTCGGCGCTGTTCAAGATCATCTCGGAGCTTACTGTTCCGGGGGGGCTGTGGGTGGAAGTCCTCATCGCTGGTGGTTGCATAGTCGTCGTTTTCCTCTTCTTCGCCATCCTCATCCTCGTCTTCTTCGTCATATAAGTCCGCATCCTCATCCTCACTATCCCATAGGTCGTCATCGTCATCATCCGCGCCGGCTGGTCATGAAAAGTTGAAACCGCCGGGGAATCCTCCACGCTGTCTGGGGTCAGCACCACCAAAGTTAAAGTGGGCGCCGCCGCCGCCACCACCGCCGGGGAAGCCTCCAGCAGATCGGAAACCACCGCCGCCGAAACCACCCTGCTGGCCCATCATGCTGAAGAGGATTTCCGGGTCGATGCCGCCCATACCTCCTCCCATGCCGCCGCCACCGAACATGTCGTTGGGATCCATAAGATCATCGCCGTTGTCGTAAGCAGCACGCTTCCTGAAGTGGTGTTAGTAACTTATCTTGCCGGTAGGTTTTAGAGATTACTTACTGAGGGTCGCTCAAGCACTCGTAAGCCTCCTGCAAGTCCTTGAACTTCTCCTCGGCGTGAGGGTCGCCAGGGTTCTTGTCAGGGTGGAGCTTAACAGCCATCTTGCGATAAGCCTTCTTGATCTCGTCACCTGTAGCGGTCTTCTCAACGCCAACGATCTTATAGTAGTCCTTGCGTTGAGCCTTCTTGAGCTCAAGCTCCGCCTTGCGGATTTCTCGCATGATGGTACGGTCCTCTGGATCGAGCTCCTGGATGGCCTTCCACTCCTTAACAGCGTCTTCCCACCTCTCGGCACCACCCAAAGCATTGGCCTTGGTCTTGCGGGCCTTTGTGTAACCAGGGTCAAGGTTAATGGCCCGCTCACAGTCAGCGATGGCATCGTCGTACTGCTTGAGCTTGATCTTGCATTGTGCCCGGTTCTGCAACAGCTTCGAGTTCATGCTCTTATTGGAAGGGTCAATATCCAGAGCATTGGTATACTTCTCGATGGCTTGTTGTAGACGACCTGCCTTGAAGTCGGTATTGCCCTCCTCCTTCATGCGGTCAAGTCTTTGGACAATTCTGAGCCACTTGACAGCATCACGGAAATCAGGATCACAGTTGATAGCCATGCGGAAGAACTGGATAGCCTTATCGTTCTCGCCCTGACCATAGAGAACACGTCCTCGGAGAACAAGAGCCTCAGGGTCCTGGCTGTTGTTTCGGAGGAGGTTCATAGCAATGTTTTGCGCCTCTCCCAATGAGTTTTCCCGTCCCATTAATAGATAAGCCTCTCCACGCATGAGCTGCCACTTGCGGGGCTTGCTGACACCAGGACCCAGGCCGCGTTCAGCCAGGTCAAGAGCATGAAGCACCATGGACATGCCAGATCCAGATCCGCGTGCAAGAATATCACGGGCAGACTGAATATGATGCAACATCTCCTTGGCAGGGGCCATGTCCTTAGCAGATGGTGGGGGGTCAATGCGGTTGAAGGTTGTCATGGCTTCCTCTGGTCGGCCCATAGCAGTATAGATACGGGCCAAGCGTAGAAGAATCTTCGCATTCTGAGGATCATAATCGGCAGCCCTGGAGCAGTCTTCAAGAGCATGCTCATATTGGCCATTAGACATATAAGCAGCAGCTCGGTTGCCTAGATAAGTAGCGGAGAAGGGGAACAGGTCGACAGCTGCGATTGGGTGTCAGCATTTGGAGATGCATTCAGCCAGGCTGAAAAGTCCTGGCAATAAGAAGAGCCTGACGGCAGGTGGCGATGCATACCTTTGCTGTACTGCTCGATAGCCTTGTAGTAATTCTTCTCCTTGAAGAATCGGTTACCAGCAGCCTTGTAGGCTTCAGCATCTTCCTCAGGCGTAATTGTCGGGCTTCCAGGGTTGGATTTATGAGGAGGTGGCGGAGGGGCGCCGTCATCATGACTGGAGCCGTTGGGAATAGGGACGGAAAAGTTGGTCTGGGCTTTCGGGTTGGGAGGAGTAGTTGAACGAGCGCCATTAACAGGCTCGCTGTCGACATCCATGGAGTTACCGTTCATTGCAGCGGCGAGAGCGGATAATCGCTTTCGTTCTTCGGGAGGGAGGTTGAGCGGATGCGTATCGGGCTCGTATTTGTGCCGACGAGAGGAAGAATGGGAGTGAGAATGGCCCGGGTCGGTAGATTGCCTCGACAGTCTAGAAGAACGCGAGGAAGATTTTGTGGACTCGGCGGCGTAAGAAGCGGGCCGAGATAGTCTCTTTGAAGACTTTGAAGGCGACTTGGCTCTCGCTGGAGAAGAAGGCTCCGAGTATGCGGGAGGTTGTTCCGCCGGATCGTGGTTCTCACGATCGCGCTCCTCGAAAGTGGCGGATTTCCTAGTAGAGGAAAGAGGAGGAGGAGGAGTGGAGGAGGACGTTGGCTTCTTGCCGCTACCAAAGAAGTTCTTCATTTGAGCCAAACAAAGTTTGGTTCAGACAGATAGAAAACTAATACTTTTAGGTAGACGGGATGGAAGAATCCCCAAGAATCCCCGTAACAAGCTTATGCCGGATACTTTACTTGACCGAGTCGATGCCCTAAACGGGCGTTAAGGAAAAAACCGAGTTTTTTTTTTTTCGGGGCCGGTCGACTTCCAGTTCCTGGCTGGACTGGACTGGACTGGACTTTATTACTGGTGGCTCCGGGAACGGTCGTGCGGCTCTGAGCCTAAAAGGGGTCGAGTCAAGTTAAGTGTGGTGGGAATGCCGAATACCTTACTAGACAGACGGAGGAGGACCGGAGCAGTGATGATAGATGATGAAGAGTCAAAGCATAGGTTCCTAGGAATACAGAGATAAGGAAGAAGTAAAAGAGTCACAAAATGACAAGCAGATGAGAACAAAACTCAAGCAGATGACAAAAAGGTGATCCAGAGAAAACAAAAAAACAAGTCGGGGGCAGGGAAGAGGAAAGTGATGAGATGATGAAGGAAAAGAACCCTTGTTGAACCAATACGCAGAGCACAGCCTGAACCAGCATTCAGCTGCTAATTAGTTTGAGTCCTTCAGTTAATATGAGATGAGCGAACCGGGCTATGACAGTGACAAGTGACGAGTGACAAGCGACAACGGCCATGTCAATCCCAACCCAGCCCAGCAGATTTATCAGCCGCTCTCGACAGAGGCCAAAAGCCCGAACTAGGATAGATAGGACTATGTGTCAAAATCGACGCAACTGCCTGATTTCCTAGTGCAGTAACCCGTTTTCCAAATCTCAGCCTGTCGGATCACTCCAAATGTAAAAAAAGGCTGGGTTCTGCAGGTGTCTGTGGTTGCCGGCTCACCACGGGAGCCTGAGCGTTTAAGTTAGGTTGACCACTGAGACATAGCCTGGTCTGGCCTGAATAAATCTAATGAGAATAAAATAAAATTGTGTATCGTACTGCCGGAATCACGTCAATGTCAGTGTAAGACTGTCATTTCATTCCATCGGTTCTCGGAGACTTTGGCAACACAGGATATGTTTGCCTGCTGTGCGAGTATCTTGTACTTCGTTCCCCAGTGACAGTGACAGTGACAGATTTCAATTCAACCCATTCAATATGCCTGGTCGCCACGCGCTTTCAACCCCCACCGCGGAAGGGACCTTGTCTGTCTGGAATTATACCGGACCACAGATCAGAACCAATTAAGCAAGGACCATGTGTAATGACAATTCAATTGACAGAAAATATGATAGGGGTTCTTGAGTCTAATTCTGCATGTTAGTAGTGAGTTGTCCTCATTGACGTTGAGCCAACCAAGCTAGTCCGTACAAGAGGTTGGGAATAGTCCATCAATCTCAAACTACCGCCTATGACAGCATCAGAAGGATCAAAACTTGTCTTTACAGCATTGCCCAAATGACAGGCTCCGCAATCACCGATCAATGACAGAATGTCACAACTCAAGACCAAGGCACAGAAGAAAAACAAAGAGATAGACAAAATAATCCGTCAGTTAATTTGCAGCTGTCAACGTCTCACCCCGCGTAAACTCAACTAATCGTTTTAGTGTCCGTGGTCAGGCCCCGGCCCGCAAATGACTAACCTAATATCGAGGACTTGCGCTTATCCAAACGTCATCTCTTCTAGAAGGTTCAGTGGGGCCCAGGACCCTTGACAACGTTTCTCCAGCCATCCTCGATTCTTACAGGTTGCTTTTAGGCGTTCTCACAAGGCTTTCCTGGTCCTCGCCAAACTGCCCAACGCCAGTCACTTTCCTGCAGTCTCACCAGTCTCCATCTCAGTCAAGAAGAGGTGGCGGGTCGATTGCCTGCTCTTGCATCCTTGAGGGGCTTGTTTCGCTTGGCTGCAAATCATTGCAGTCCACGGATATGGATCCGGGGCTGCATTTGTCTATACGCAGACACAGCAAGCTAGGTAGGCATCCATCGTCCAACACATTTGTTTTATACGGATCAGATGGCCGGATGCCTCCAGATGTCTTACTGATTGCCTTACAGAAATCAACAATGAATCTAGAGTACCTTTCTTATTGTCTTTACTAATCTGATCTGTATCAACATAAATGTTCTGTCATCTATCATTAACGTAATTCTTCCACAAGCAACCAAATCGTCCTGGCGGAATGCTGTACCACTTCGGAAAACGCCTAACATTACACAACGATAGTAATATCAATGTTTGCTACGGATTGACATGACACAAAGTAAGAGTCTCAAGATGGACAGTGTTAACCTGGCAGGAAATGTCCGCGTAGCCGAGGACACTGACATTTATACTATACAAAACCGTGTCACTCAAGAGGTAACACAAATCCACATCTAGGGATACTCCGTTTTAGGTCTCGCATTGGCTGCTCATATAATATATTCTCGATATTTTCGAGATCCTCATCGTCTTTCTTGCTCCTCATTCACGGTGTAACCTTAGCAGATGGAAAGGCTATGTCCCGAAGCTGTATTCGTTCTTTACATTCTTCGTGCTCACATAGCCCTAAACTGTTTGAATGGGAGGTAAGCGAGTTGTTTAAGATTTCAAGTCCAATGAGAATCCCGCGCTGTTGTTCGACTGATGGCGACGCCCTATCGTGTCCATCACCAACAACCTTCAGGAGGGATATCCTCTCAACTGTATGCGTAGAATGTCAAATGGTTGAGAAACCACACTGTCAAGTCGCTGTTTAGTTGTTCGGGCAATATGCCGTACCCTGAAATCCCGAGCTCTACTGAGAGCGTCAGAATCCCCAGTCTTGAACCCCCTTCTGTCTGGAGAGGGTTATAGTTGGCCATGAAGCTATGAGGGTAAGCCGAGTCCTCATTGAATGTTTTTAAGAATGGAGTCAAAAGCCAATGCTATACTCTTGGAATAAGAAGTCTCAATATTGAGTAATTAATCGTGTTCTCATTCGATGTCCTATGCTGTTACCAAGTGCTATCCCAACCATAAACCATACCCATCCAGCCGAGCACCCTTTTCCGTTACAAAAGCCGCCATAAAGTTACATAAAGTAAACCCGAAATAGCTACACTGACTCCTGCCAAACTCTGTGCCCCACAAACCTTATGGTACCCTTGGGTATCCTCAGAGCTGCGCTAGAGGAAATGTGAGTTGATATCGACGGCACCAACACCTAACTGCCTCGAACTGAACGACTTGCATTTGAACGAGCTTGTCACTGCAGAGAAGATATGCTTTACAAACAAACTTAATCATCTCCATTATCATGAGACTGGTTATCCGAACCGTTGTTGGAGCCCATGATAGAGCCAACAAATTCCTGGTACTTGAACACCTCGCCTCTCTTGGCACCAAGATGAGCGTTCATATTGCGGTTGAAAGCTCGTCGTCCAGTGAAACCATTCATGATCTTATCAACTTCACTGGCAGTTAGAGCCTTCTCCCCGGGCTCGGGTGCTGTATCAAGAAGTGCTTTTCGCAGCTCGACCAAGTCGACCTGGCCGCTGTCATCGTCGTCAAAGGCAGAGAAGGCAGACAGCAGCTCAGCGCTTGGTGAAAGTGCTGCAAGTGCGTCGGCAAGCGAGCTGAGGAATACTGCGAGGGTGATCGTCTGGGGTGTTGATGGAGGAAAGAACTTGGATACGTCGGCTGGGTTTGAAGGCAGGCCTATCGAAATTGTCAGCTAGTGTTATCTCATCCATCACTTTAGTTGTTCATACCCAGCTGGTTGAGCATATCCGTAACATCCTCGCGGTTTACAACACCATCGCAATCTCGGTCCATGATCTGGAAAGCATCTCGCAATGTTCGGACTTGGGTTGCTTGCAGTTGCGATAGCGCATTACCATTGCCAAGCGACTTTGACACTGGGGTCCTTGGGGGCACCGGAGACATACGCGAGGGCGAAGAATTCATCTCGTCTCTAACAGGTGTCTTGGCCTTTGGTGTCCAGCTGGGTTGTGTGCTTGTGGGAGTTGTTGGTCTAGCAAAGCGCGAAGTCGAGCCGAAAGGTCCTGCCTTTGTCGGTGATCCGGTGGGTGTAGTGTGTCTTAGGGGAGAGGGCGATGCAGGTGATTCGGCGCGACGAAATGGAGAGCTTCGAGTAGGTGAAGAGCCATAGCCCAGAGGAGAGGGCTTGTATGTTACCGGCACAGACTGAAAACAACGGCGTTAGCTGGGACGGGCGTCACTTGTCAGGGATTCTCCGTCATGGAAGAAGTACCATTGTGCTCAACGTGGGTCCGGCGAGCGGAGATGGACAATAAACAGGTTTGTGAGAAGACGAGGAAGAGAAAGGCGATAATTTGACGTTGATAAGTGAAAATTAAGATAGAACGTATCGTGGAAATGATCAATTGGCCGTGGGATGGATATAGATAACCGTTGTCGTCATTGGGAAAGAATTGAGGTTGTAATGCGCTTTAACGAGGTGTGATCCAAAGTAAACAATGAAAGTGGTTCCCACGGAGATGCATGATAAACGCCACGAATTGTGCCACGAAGAGTTGAGCCACATGTGAAAGCCAAGATTGGAGGGTCATGGCACTCGCATGGCGCTAACGAGCATGGGGGTGTGCTCCAACCACAAGCTGAAAGCTGCAATTCAGGGGACGCAAGGGAACGAGACGACCCTTTTTCTTAGTGGGGAGCATTTTGAGTGGACGAGGTTTGTGCTCTGCTGACACTTTTTCAGCTTGAACATTTTCTATTGAATGGTAAAGATCCAATAACTTGATAGAGATGATATTGCGATCAGAAGAAATCTCAATTAAAGAGGTCAGCCGAAAACATATTTGCGCTGCTCTTAGACTTGACCAACCGCTTTCAGTTTCAGGGGCTAGCAACTATTAAAATGGGAATGAGGGGGAGAAAGGTTGGACCCGACGTAGTGGATAGAATGGGTAGGGAGGGAGTTGGTAGGTGATTGAACCCTTTGTCTAGTATCTTTTTTATTTCAAAACACCACTTTACTCAAATACACAGCAAATTGATTTATCGTCGGATAATTAATTGACTTGCTGGATACTTCCATCTTCATCTGTCCCCACCTACAAGGAAGTCAAGCCTCGTTGCGCAAGTTGACGCCCACTTGTACTTTGTGGCGGGAACATGTCTCGGTTACAACACTGTCTTTAAAGCTGTTTCTAGTTCTGTTACATATTCGATAACAGGTGGTACTGGCTGGTGCTGTACATACTATCACAGCTGCTTTCGATCGAGGAGAATTGTTTAATTCTGTCAACTACTTCAGGTACTGTAACGTCCAAAGTGGAACAAAGCAGAGCAGAGCGTCGATCCCACTGCCTTGCATTACATTGCATGCATTCACCGCATCCTTTCACTCAACCCTCTCGGACTCCCCGAGCTCGAAAACGAAACGCAACGCAGCGCAACATCACCCGATCCGGAACCTACGAGGGTTCTAAATCGTGAGGGACTCGTGTTTCGTGTTTCGTGTCTCGGAACCCCGGCCTCAATCCGCCTTCGGCACTGTCTTAGCTTGTCTTGCATTGCATTGTCTTGTCTCGTCTCCTCCATTATGGCTTCTTCGTTCCAGTCAACGTTGCCATTCTTGACCAAAACAACCAGCAACAGCGCAAACAACCACCACGGTCACGGTCATAAACATAGCCTCAGCAATTTCTCCAATGCTTCAGTCTCCAACCGAAGAACCTCCCTGGCTTCGTTTCACTCTTCGCGCCCCGAATCGCAAATGTCACAGGCCTCGCCGCCTCCCTCGAGGTCGCCTCTTCCTCCTGGCCCAGAGATCGATCGCATTTCCGATCCCAATTCGCAGTCAAAGACGCCTTCGACGGGTCTGTCCTCGCAGCATTCATCACTTTCCGCTCCTCGAAGGATCAACCCTCATGCACGACCATCGAGAAAGCTTCGCTCGCAATACCCGCGAAGCTCCACAGAAAACCATGTCGAATACATCCTTGTCGCATCTTTCGATATCGATCGAGGTCCCGTCATGGAGCATCAATACCCGGTTGCGATCACGGGAGACGAAAATATGCTGGCAGAGCTCATGTTGCCCGATCAAGCCCACGCCCGCAACCAGGACTGGACAATCTTCTTTCTTCACAAGGATACAAGTCAGGAAGAGGAGGATGAGGAGCGCAAAGTTAAGGAAAATCGAAAGCAAAGGCGCAAGAGGAGGCGTGATAGAGCAGCTGGTATAATAGACGAGGAGGATGAAGAAAACGAAGAGGATCTACCAGAGGACGAATGGGAGGACGATGATGAAGACGACACCGAATCTACTGATAGCGAACCTGAGGGCGGAGAGGGCCCTCCCCTAATTTATGTGCTTAATCTGGTCAATACCAAACATGACAAGTCGGTCAAGAGAGGGGCCATTGTCAAGGCCATGGCCATCTGCACGCGGCACCCCTTCTTGCATATTTACAAGGCAAGTAGCCTTAACACATGATTCTTGTGCTCGTGCACTTGCTAACCGTTTCAATAGCCACTGTTACTATTGGCTCTGGAAGAATACTTCAAAGCACCTGTTCCAGAGACATTGGCCATGCTATACGATTCAGTAAACGCCATGGATTTGTCTCTCATGCCTAAACTCAGTCTTCTTGAGCGCCACTTATTACAAGCAAGTGACAACAGGGATCTCTTTGTGGAGAAATTCGAACAGATGATTCAAATGCGGATAGCCGAAGACCAGCGCGAGGAGGCAGCAGATCAGTCATTGGATGCGACAAGGAGTCCGACAAAACTGACTGGTATCTCAAGAGCTGGTACAAAGGCCCATGTTGAGGGCGGCCAGTCGATTTACTCTGTTCCCCGCGACACGCATGAGTTTGAGAGCAAGGTCATGTACAAGGGCATACCAATACCTATCAAAGTGCCTGTTGCTGTCATGCCAGAAACCGTTGGTGACTTTTCACTCATAAAACTCATTCAAAACTTTTCAGATTCTCATCAGAAATCGCCCCAACCATTTGCGCTGCACCCTCACCTCACAACGAACGGAGTCAATACGCACCCCATCATTGTGCTGGCAAATGCGCTCTTGACCCAAAAGAGAATCATCTTTCTAGGGTACAACATGCCCTCAGGCGAGGTCGCAGAAGCTGTCTTAGCCGCGTGTGCGTTGGCATCGGGTGGTATACTTCGTGGGTTTACACGACATGCTTTTCCTTACACCGACTTGACCAAAATCGACGACCTGCTCAACGTACCCGGTTTTATCGCTGGTGTAACGAATCCGACCTTCGAGCTTCACCCCGAGTGGTGGGACGTTTTGTGCGATTTACCAAGTGGAAGGGTCAAGATCAGTACAAAGATCGACCCTGCCCCTGTCACAGAGGGTCTGCTGTACTTCCAGCAACAAAATGCAGCTTTCGCGGCCATTGCAAGCGGTACCACGAATACAAGCCAGGACTATACGGGTGACAATGCCTTCATGGCTGATGTTCTTAGGAGCATAGCTGCGAGACATGGCGAACGTGTGATCCGAGCAAAGTGGCGCGACTGGGTCGGCAAGTTCACTCAAATCGCAGCCAAATTCGAGGAAAGCGTTTATGGAGCTAGTGCCTTGTACATTGGAGGTGAAGATCAAGACTTGATGCCACCAGGAGCTAATGGGCATGGTTATGTCTGGGCGGATGATACAGCTAAGCATAAAGAGCTTGCTGGTAATGTGACAAGAATCGAAGGATGGCGCAACACTCGGAGTTATTACAGCTTCATCCAAGTAAGATACTGCACTAAAAATAGGGACGACTAAAGCTAACATTTCGCAGGATTTGGCACAGATATATACCATCAGGCCCCTGAAGGGCCTTGACTTGGCCCATCTTCACGACCGTTTACGAATGCAACGCTTGACCCCCGCGCAGAGCAGAGACATCTATCTCACCATCTCCAAACACGTCCACACGTACGATGAGATTTGCCTACTGCTTAGTGTGGCCCCTGAGTCGCACGCTGGATTGTTCTACCTTGCTCTTGGTCTATTCCACAAGGACCGCGAAGTTCGTCTGAGAACAGCAGATCTCTTGGAGCGTATATCCGATCATGAAGCTGGACAGCATTGGTGGAGGAGTCTCAGCCGCTTTGAGAAGCTAGCTTATATGCGGCTACGTCGAGAGGTGGATGCTGAGATGCAAGCAAAGCTTGAAAAGGAAGGTATAAGCGCTGAAATGGAGAGGATAGTAAGCTGAACGTTTGAATTGGAGTTCACGTGTGGGCGGGCTTGTAGGAGTTCATTTATGGGTTGGAGTAACTTTGACGGGTTCTCCAGGAGGTGTCATGTCTGGGTTCGCATCATATACCTTTCAGCACTCATATAGGCGGCGTTTTTCAAAGACATTGGGCGAATGTAATGGCACGTTACATACGAAAATCAATGTAAATCGGAAGAGTAATATTATTTAACTTGCTTTTAGGTTCCTTGGTCGGTAGAGTTACGACCTCTTTTCAGCTATCGTTCAGACCATAGCATCATTGAGAACATTTGCTACTCGAGCATTTCATGTACACAACATGAGTACACATCCTGATTCGTTTACCCAGAATGGCGCCGTAAATACATCCAACCGACTTTTGCCAAAGAACTGTTGGTTTCACCCTCTTACAGCGCACTGCGTGGTAGTCACAAGAGTCCGAGAGCCTTGGCGGCGTGCTTGACGTGGTCTTCGCCGAAGGTAGAGATGAAGAAGTAAGAGTGGTCGTAGCCCTGAAGACGGGTTAGCATTGTCGTTTGATGGGAATGAGAAATACCTACATCCTGGTAGCGGAGAGTCAAGCCCTCAATACCGGCATCCTTGACAGCCTTCTCGAGGTTCTCGGGGAGAAGTTGGCCCTGTTTGTAGAAGTTGTCACCAGTGCCCTGGTCTATTAGCATGGTGCATTTAACAATGGCGAGAGAGAGGCTCGGAACTTACAACATCAATGAGAGCAGGGAAGTTGCCCTTCCAGCTCTTGATGAGCTCAGTGGCATCGTGTTTCTTCCACTCCTCCCTATCCTCACCCAAGTAACCCTTGAAGGCCTTGTCACCCCAGGGGCACTGAGAAGGGTTGGAGATAGGAGCCCAGGCGCTGACACTCTTGTACTTGCCGGGGTTCTTGAGGAACAGAGTCAGTGCACCATGTCCACCCATAGAGTGGCCAGAGATAGAAACTCGCGAGGAGTCAATCTCCTTAAACTCCTTGAAGATGAGGTCGGGAAGCTCATTGGTGATATACGACTCCATCTTGTAGTGCTTGCTGTAAGGGTCCTTCTTGGCATCGATGTAGAAGCCCGCTCCGCTGCCAAAGTCATATGAGTCGTGCTCACCGGGCAAGTCGAGCTCGCGGGGAGATGTGTCTGGGTAGAGAAGAGCAAGACCGAGCTTGGAGGCGTGGGCGTGAAGGAAACCCTTCTCTGTGACGTTGTCGGGCGTGCATGTGAGGCCGGAGAGGTAGATGAGAAGAGGAGCTGGCTTAGAAGATGATGCTGAGCCTGGGAGGTAGAGAGTTGCGTTCATGGGTGTGCCGGTGACGGCGGACTTGTGGGAGAGCTTGAGGAAGCGTCCGCCGAAGCTGTTGATAGTAGCATTTGTAGTGAAAGCCATGATGTCACTGTATTTGAGGGTTGCTTGGGTTAGACAGAAGCAATTGGGGTATAAAGTTGAAAACAGTTTCAAGAATAAAGAGAAGATAAAGTGAAAGAGGAGAAATCTCAGTAGTGTATGGTTATGTTGCTATGAAATAGCTGAGCTTTATCCCAAGGAGGGGAAGCTTCCAGTCAATGGCGAGGTCTGGGGTAACCTTAACCCCACCATCGGTACCCGGATGCCCTCATCAACATGACGAATGCCGAATTATCTCCCCGGCTCCGGAATACGGAACCTCCTCCGTGTCACGGGTCGGAGACAAGATAAGAACAATATATACACTAGGGGGTAGCAGAAAACTCATGACTAAAGTCCTAAGTGACAATAAGGTTTAGGCAGTATGAGGATATCTTGTAATGATTTATGATGAACTTGATATGCTCTTTGACTGGTTTATTTTCTCAGGATACATTAGTACTACGGCAGAATGTGACGTCGAGTTGGGATGAGTGTATGATTGTTTCATGTCTTATCTCATAATAATAATCGTCAATCATTAGAGCTGTATCTATCTCAGCGTACATGCCCTGACTAACTGCCAAAGAATAAAAAACTATCGCTATTATCGCTAACTCCAAATACTCCGTAGCCTGGTGAGTTGCCCATTGCTCCGTCCCCAAGTTGACGATGCCAATGTAATACTAAAAAAGAATAATCGATCGCTTTAACGCAGCAGGAAGAAGACCAAAAAAATGCAACCGAAAACAATCGTGTTCGTCAACTCATTTAGCCACCCAGGTACCCATACTGGCTCTCCTTGCTCCATCCTTTTAATCTTCTCCTAATCGAACATATCCTCGCCTTTTGTGGTCTTCTTTAGTGAACAGTCAAAACTGTTGAAGAGTTTGGGCCAGCCGACACGAGTGAAATTGAACTTGAATTTGTAGTCGAAATCGATCGGGCCTATTGTGCAACCCGTAGGGCTCGTACAAGTGTCATTGCAGCCGGTTGTACGGGGGTAACAGTTGAAATATTCACCATCGGGCGCAAAAGTTGTGACGTTGCGAAGGAAAGGTTCGGAAAGTTGATGGCACTTGTTAAGTGTGTATACCTCGTGGGTGCATGTACCTGTGGAGTTGGCACCGGTACATATCAAGACCTGCGGTGATGAGGTGTCAATACCACATAAAAGAGATAACCTGTACAGTAGGGAAGAGAGTCAACTTACACCCCCGACGGCCCGCTCCTTCAATATGGGCACAGCAGAGATGCTGACGGCAGAAATAATAGTTGCAATAACAGTGAAGAACTTCATTGTAGCGGTTGGGACTCGTCTCGGCTGATAACGACAGTGGAAACGAAAGTGTTAGATTGGCGAGTGTCAATGTCTGAGATTAAAGAGTATGAATCAGAAAGATTCTTAGCAGAGGTTGGATTTGAGTAAGATATATACCCAAAGCAAGTTATGAATCTCGGTTGGTCTTTCCAATTGTTTGCTGTTTCTGTTATACCAACCTCCTAGCCTCAAAACACCACAAGTGCGACCAACCTCTTATAAGAAATGGAGTAAGATAATAAGCTTCCAATAGCACAACAGCTTCACCAAATTTGTCTAATTCCTCCTGCATAAGAGAAAACGACTCGTACGATCAACACTAGACGTAACCTTTCATCATCGTCTCAAGTTCAATTCGGATCAGTCAAGTGAGTGCGTATCCGCCGACGTCATGAAAGTCCCCGCCAAGAGGGAGATCATCCTGTCACCAAACGTCTAGATACCTTACCTGGATACCACAGCAAAGAACAAACTGAATTAAAGCCAAGTTGGCTAAGGTTGCATGAAAACTTTACTTGCATGATCTGCAAAGCTACGGCTGTCACGGCTTTTCCCTTCCTACCAACACCCGTTTCCGGATCAGTGTGGCACAACGTCGGAGGCTGGAAAGAATATTCTGGACCTGTGGTTGGTTGGACAATTCATCTACCTGCGAGGACCCTTTCAAATATGCAAGAAGCCACAGACGCTGCAGGAATCATGTCTTTGTATTTGAGGTTGATAATCTCTGTCAGGCCCAGATTGCGTGGTATGAGAGGATGCTCCCTTGCTTGGATTGACTGTTTATCAGACTTTGTGACGTATAAAAGGCCACTGCGCATTTGAGGTTGAGTCCAAACATCAGAAGATGCCGTCATGTCTCGCGCCGGTGTTTCAGTGAAACACAATCTGGCCCGACGTAATCGGCCCATCAGACCCAAAACAAGCCATCTGCCATTTCCCACTTGACATCATTCTTTCATGGACTTCTACCGGACAGATCCGTATTGGTAACGATGTGACGTTGGAGCATCCGTCAACAGTGTTGCTGTTGGGGATTCTTTGTCCGTCTTCATCAAAGACGGCGTCAGAGACAATCAACACACTCGTGCACCAAGACACAGAAGCAAAGTAGATTTCCTTCTTGTTTTTTGTCTAGTTCCTGTGTAAATCAATCTCAATCTCAAACGCCGCGCTTATACATGATTAATTAACCTCCTGATACACTATACAACATGTCAAGCCAGAAGGGAGCACACAACGTTCCAGCTCGATTGTATCTAAGGAGGGTCGCATGGGTATATACGCCTCGGGGGCAATCGGTTGTTTCGCGACGTGCTAGTCCTTAGGCTGCTTACTGCAGCAGTTCCTCGCAGGTCCAATCCTCGTAGCTGTACCACACGCGTAAGTAAGGCATCTTCGAGCTGCCTGAACAAGCATCACTTACTAGCCATCGGGCATGTATCGCCGCACGATCAAGGGGATCTTCTTTTCCCGCATCTCCTTGATCGCAATTTGAAGGGGGTCGGTCTCGCCCTCCAGATCAACTAGCACAGGCGCATTCATGCTGCATCCAGTTAGTTTCCTGAAGTTGCTGCAGTTCAGCAAGGTGATGCGGACCTGATCTGCAGAGCGCGTGTACCGAGGATGCGTGCCCTCTCGTACTTGGTCATGTAGGGTGTGGTAGTTCGCTCGTTCTCGGGAATCTTCTTGTCTTTGAGTAGCTTGTCGCCGCCCTTCAGCGCGTTGGCAGCGGCAGAAGGATCTCCCGAGACTACGACATTATCCTGGTCTTGTCCGTTTTGTTGCTGGTCACCATCCTCCTCCTCGAGAACCTCGGGGTCGTAGTACTCGGTGATCTCCTCCTCCTCGTACATGGGCTCGTCGCTGCCTAGGAGTTAGATCCGCGTGCGCCTGCAAAGATCGCGAAGCAACTTACCCGCCAGCGCCGCCAACATCGTCATCGCCGAAATCAGACATCGTAAATGTCGTTTAATATGGACTTGATGAAGAATGAATGTGAGAGTGTTCTTAGTCCAGAGTTGCTTTCGCAATGTATGGTTTTAGAATTGCCCAGGTCAACCTAGGAAAAAGTTCTAGAGAAGAACAAAGTAAAACCTGGTTAGGCCGATGTTTTTCCGGCGCACCTTCCGCACCTTTAGACAAAGAATATCGGCGCGAAGCTTTCAGGTGGATCGCTCTTGACTCTCATCCCTGTAATCCCCACACAAAAATTCATAGTCACCGCCTTAAATTGAAATCAATTCTGCCACTTCCAAGCTTGCTTCGACATTTACAAACTGAAGGCTCCTCGGCATGACAGCACTATGAGTAAACGAGAAGCTGCCGAGGCAGCCTTTGATGTCCCTCCGGCCAAGAGACTCTATCGTGGAGGCCCAGATGACTTATGTACGGCTTAGTTCCATTCTTTTGTTCTCAAGATGCATCTGCTGATATTGCGAACTTAGATATTGATGATGCTGAGGACGACTTAACTAGCGCTCATACTCCATATTCCACCCAGGACCCTGATTCACCACAAACGGTGAACACTGCTGCTACGACTCCCCGGGCTAAATTTCCTTCGGATCTCAAAACTCTTGCTTGCACATGGCCTGGTTGCCCCAAGACCTTCAATCGACCTGCCAGATTACGAGATCACCTCAATTCTCACACCAATTCTCGACCATTTAAGTGCCCTTATGATGGTTGCGATAAGGACTATATAGAGGACAAGCACTTGAAGCAGCACATCAAAGCCGTCCATACTCTTGAGCGAAAACACGTCTGTCAAAAGGAAGGCTGCGGCAAGAGCTTTGTGACGGGTACTCGACTTAAACGACACCAGGCCGTTCACGAAGGCGAAGAGAGATTCCGTTGCCAAGACTGTGGGCAGAGTTTCAGAAAGAAGGAGACATTGAGCAAGCACGTTCGAAAAGATCATCAGGGCTTACCTGCACTCCAATGCCCAGAGCAAGGGTGCCGTCATGCTTTTGAGTCCAAGGCGGCCTTGAAGCGACACCGTGATAAGGATCATGGCGAGGCAAAGTTCTGGTGCGGCGAATGCGATTTGAAGAGGATGCCCGATGGCACAGAACAGCGGGTCGGATTCACCACTGAAGTGCTGCTTCAGGCACATATCCGCCAAGAGCATCAAAACTGCATTTTCTGCGAATTCAAATCTGCCTCACGATGGGAGCTGGAGAAACATGTCGAAATGCACCATTCCGGCCAGTCTGTCGAGGATCGAAAGAACATCGCCTGCCCATACGACGAATGCACCAAGAAGTTCACTAAGAAGTCCAACCTCAACGCCCATATTCGTACAGCGCATGAGGGATTCCGCTTCGTTTGCGGCCAAGTTGACCTCAATAGTTCTGGCCTACAGGGCTGGACAAACGATCAAGGCTGTGGTGATAAGTTTAGTACCAAGAGTCGACTAGAAGATCATATCCGATATAAGCACCTCGGCCACGAACGCCCTAAGCTCTCGAAGCCTGAACCGCCTCAAGAAATCAATCTTATCGATGAACTCTCCGGTGCTGCGAACCAGGCAGAGCGAACGATTACTTGTCCCCACTGCCATGAAGCCTTCATTCGCTACCACGACCGGGATGCACATGTTGAGCTGTATCACCCACCGGCTACTGACCCATCTCTTATCCTAGCTGGAGACCAGCTTGATCCTGCCCAGTTCTTCTTCGATGGAAGTTTCTCCAACACAACAAACTGGTCCGGTATCATGCCGGAGGATGACATCTTTGCCGCTACAATGGACTATGGTCCTCCTCGAGATGATTGGCCGGAGGACGAGACAAATATACTTCTGCTGGCAAGAGATTCAACAGTCCAGGATCCTCTCATTGATCCCGCTCTTGGTAATCTCTGAGGAAAAGAGGACATTTGTGGAGGTAAAATGTTCTGGTTTTTTAAAAGGTGAAAAATAAAATAGATACCCGGCCGCAAGGCCTTGACGGTGGTCAACGTATGAGCGGCTGGCTATCATGACACCGTCAGGATGTATGAAGAATGAAATGCAATGTCACAAAAGCGATGGGAAATGGCTATGATGAAAGAAATAAAGTTGTTTGACCAAGTGTACCCAGTCCCTGCGTATAAGTGAAATTCTTTCCTTTCTATCTGTATACCGAATGCCGAAACCCAAAATGATTTTATGCCCCTCCCAATGAAGCCCAAGTACAAGCCCAATTGCACCCCAGACCAACACCGCGCAAGAAAAGGAGTCAAGTAATGACAGGAACGAATGTCAGAGCGTGAGCCCGTCCAGCATAAAAAGATACTGGCTAAGTATTTATATGACTCGTACAAGGCTGGCCAACTAGTGAGAGCCCACCAAAGCGTTACTGAATCCCAGTAAAGCCATGCCAAGGAAGCCAAAGAAGATGCAGAGGTTACGGCTATGGTTGAGACTCAGACTCTCCACAAACAACTGCAATGCGACACTAACCATAATGCCGGAAGTGACAGCAAAGAGACATCCGTAAGCAACTGCATTGGGTTGCATATTGGTCTTATCGGCGAGCTTGAACCATAGGGCCGCAACGCCCGCGCCAATGGGCTGAGAAAGACCACCGAGAAAGGCCGACCATGCCATGGCGCGCCAGCGAGAACCCAGAGCCATGTATAGCGGCAGACACATGGCGAAGCCTTCGGTGATGTTATGGACAAATAGTGCCATGAAAACATTGAAACCTAGAGATGGGTTTACGTGGTTGGTAGCGTAGGTGATGAATCCTTCAGGAAACTTGTGCAGAGCAATGGCAATGGAGGTCTGGAGGCCAATGGACAAGAATGCATTTGTTGGAACGTGGTGATGATGTTGAGCTTCGACATCTTCGTCGTCTCCTGCAGATGAGCATGAGCTATCGTGTTCAGAGAGTTCCTCCGGGACTATCGGATCTAATGGCTCTCGCGACTTGGCTCTGCTGGTTCGATATGTTGGTCTCGCAAAGGGCTCAACAGAGTCTTCACATCCATTCTCATGCTCATGCTCATGCTCATGATCGTGGTGAGCATGCGAATGTTCAGGCGCGCGGTTCAGGAATGATCCAGTGGTAGTGCGCAGAATCTGGGTTTGTCTTCCAGGTCTGCTCGGTAGACTGGTTCGGCTACTTAGATGCTTGAAGCACTCTTGGCCACAAGGGTCTGTGAATCCGTAGCAGGAGTTCGACTCGTCGCAATTGCACTTTGTATCTTGTACGAAGGACATGACTCGCTTGTGAACTTCTCGCATGGATTTCCTCCTCTCAGGGAAGCCATCCGTAAGTCCTGTGGTGGTACGGCTTCGTGTTGGACTAGCAGGACGTCGCATTCCATCACGGGCAGACGCTTGTCTCTTAAGAGGTTGTGTTGGGCTATCCAAAGTGGATTCCAGCAGAGGTGTAGACTCGGTCGCAGCATTTTGTCCGGTACCGTTGGTTAATTTGGAAAGCGACTTGTTGACAGGTGCTTGTTCAGGCGGCGGATGGGAAGATTGTCGACGACGGGCACGAGACTGTCTCCTCTCGTGGTGACATGAGGTGTCTTTGGTCGCATTTTCATCGTGTGTATGATCGCATTCGACGACGTGGGTAGGCATGAACTGGTGAAGCAATCGCGAAACTCCCTGAATGCCGATGAAACCACCAGCAAAGCAGGACATCATAACCAGGCCAGCAGCTTGAGTAGACCATTTGGCCTGCTGGAAATATTCTTTGGACTCCGGTAGCATACTATACAATGCGGAAAATAGCTGTTCTTTGTTAGCAGAAGAGATAGGTGCTGTCAGAAGGGCCGTACCATAACACCGAAACTCAAGCTGAGGGAGCAAGCTAAGAAGACGTTGCTATCCTGGATGCGAAAGTTTCTCTTGCCAGGAAATAGTCGAACGATAACGTCAACGCATACTATGGAGGCGCCAACAACGCAAGCTGAGGATATTTGTTAGAATTGTATCCCCGGAAGCGCATTGAGGGTCTTGGAGATGAGGAGCAACTCACCAATGCCGCTGACAACACACATGATCCAGCCGCGAGTATCATTGTCGAGGCTGCTCTGGCCCACGGATGTGGCCATGCTGCTTAAGTGTATCGTCTGTGTATGAACTGATGTTGCGCCTAGAAACGAGCTCTGGTGACAAGGCTAAGTGTGAGTTTCGAGAGGGATCGAGACTTGACGTCGAGGTTGTGATGGGCGCAAAGAGGCAAGAGCAAAGAAGCTGTAGATCTTTTTGTTCTAGGTCTGACGTAGCGAGCGAGCAGGGGAATATCGATGCGGTTTTGTTTAGCGCAGTGAGCGGGGACCTTGTTAGTCTGGGCTCGACACAAGTAATCAATGACAACGAAAGCCTTAGTAACAAAGAAGAAGGACAAAGGGGGTTGATAAAAATGCTTTACACGCAACAGAGAGAAGAGAAATAAGTTTGAGGCTGAATGTGAGTTTCAAGGGCCTTGCAGAGGCGTCAATGACAAAAAGGATGGGGCTTTGTTAATGCGCATTAGCCTGGCTCTGACGACAAATGGATCATGATAGAACAAGGAAACCACGTCTAGGCCCTAACATGAGGAATTGTTCCTTTAAGATAGTTCCTATTTCAACCTCGTGCTTCAACTAGGAGAAGAGAAACTACAACGCTATAAATAATTAGCCCCTTGGAACCCTTTTAGAGGATCGAGTTGGGGGTCAACTTACACCATCATGAGGCCGTGCGTCTCCATCAAAACTGTCCCTCAAGGTTCTCACGTCTCAGCATCTGCGCATCATTGGATCACGGCGTCTCGTTGACCGCCTGGCTTACGAATTGTCATGCCTCTTTTGATTGTAGTAGCTGTAACGAGTAGTAAAATAGTGAGACACCAGTTAATAGTGCGTTATTAATTATAGCGATATCCATAATTGCCCTGGTATCGTGGGGGTTGTATTATATGTGACTTGAGTAACTACTAGGTAACTACTAGGTATTCACATATTTTACAGTAGAGTCATTGGTTCCTCAACATCAAGCCGGATTTTATAGAAGCCTTCCTCCGGTTATGCAAGTCAAGTATATAAAAGCTTTAACTCCTCTCATCATGACGCCTCGTACCTTGTCTGAGCTAAGTTTGAAGATGCGATTTGCGCGGCGAATCACTTTCTCGTCTTTGTCATCCCCCACATCATAGGTAATGCTACGCATGATATTCGCTATGGTCCACGCTAACACGAACCTACATAATGTGATCTTCCGCTGAGCCTCAACCCCGAAATACGTCTCGAGGTTAAAGGACCCTCGAGAATTAAAATTCCTCGTGGATGGCTCTTCGATGAACTCGTGTCTTGTCATACACGGCAACTTACATTTTAGGGTCTCACAAGCCACGCACCTTGATGAATCAATCTGAATCATTCGGTGTCTAGAACAATCCCTACATGATTCATGCCCTGTCTTGCTTCGAATTCATGCTCTAGGTAGGGCAAGTAGCCGTTCGCCAGTATCTGTCGCTTTTATGTATTTCCCTGTGTTTAAACAGCGGGATCTAATGATATTCCATTTTTGACTGTTACCCTCAATCTTCAAACTACCGCGCAGTGACGTCAAATCACAGGCCTCAAGACCCCTAAAATCCACCGATAACGGCAAAACAACGGACCCCCACGTTCCGTCCCGAGCTCAGCTCCCAAAATTTCTACGGGTCGGCTCGAAAGCTATCTCAAACCCTGTGATCGATCTCAATATCACGAGGCACTGCAACTCAACACCATTGGGCAAAGATCGCGCGTGATCTGACTCCCAGTTATTGATTTCCCACATACTATCGCTCGTCCGCTCATTAAGATCAAACTTTATTCTACTTTCTTTTTTCGTAGCCTCGTCTGTTCTCAAGGGATAATAATCATGTCCAAGACTACTCTCGCTACTATGGCCTGCCTAGGCGCAGGAGGTGGTGCTGCTATCACTGCCGCCATTTACTCCATTCGAGGCGGTAAACGTGTCGAGGAAACCAATACTCTAGCTACGCCTCCTCCAACAACCTCAAACTCTTTCGCCGCTCTTCCTGCTCCCACCGCCTCTCCCGCTGTTCCTCCCGCCCAAGTCTTCGGGCCTCCAGCCACTGCGCCGTCCGGCTTGCCAATCGACCCCAGCGCAATCGTCAACCCCGGGGGTCTTTTCGAGTACGGCTTTCCAGGCCCTATCGCCGATGTCGCTAATCGCTCTGGCCTTGTCTCCTCCTACGATCGTCGTACACGAAACCCTCACTGGGTCGTCGAACATATCACACCTGCTTCCCTTGCCATTCGCGATGGTGATCGAAAGCACAGCAGCTTTCTTGAGGATGACTCTGTGCCACAAAAGTTCCGGGCTCTGTTGAAGGACTACTACCGCAGTGGTTATGACCGTGGTCATCAAGTTCCTGCTGCCGACTGCAAATGGTCTCAGAAGGCCATGGACGACACATTCTACCTCACAAACATGTGCCCTCAGGTCGGTGACGGCTTCAACCGTGACTACTGGGCTCACTTTGAGGACTTCTGCCGTCGTTTGACAGTCAAGTATCCCTCAGTTCGCATCGTCACAGGCCCTCTCTATCTTCCCAAGAAGGAGGCCGATGGCAAGTGGTACGTCAAGTACGAGATGATCGGCACTCCTCCTTCAGTTGCTGTACCCACGCACTTCTACAAGGTGATCTTTGCTGAGGACGGTCGCGTTGGTGGGAACGTTGCACTGGGGGCTTTCGTTCTCCCTAACGCTCCCATTGCTAACTCAAAGCCTATCACCGATTTCGAGGTTCCTCTCGAGGCTGTTGAGCGTGCTAGTGGCCTTGAGTTTGCTACTAAGCTACCTCCCCAGCGAAGACGACGTCTGTGTTCTGACCACACCTGTGCTCTTGTGATCCGAGACTTCGCGGATAAGCAAAAGGCTTTTCCTAAGAAATAAAAGGCTAGCAAGCATTTGTAGAGTGGGAAAGGGAACATTGGTCTCTGCATAAGGGGAATGAATAAGCATGAGATGCTCTATGGTTAGCTCTCAACGGATTTATAACATACACGACTGCGTATGAGAGCGTCACAGTTATGTTACATGTTTTGGCATTTAGAATTATATGCACCACCGATAGCATGTGCATTTTGCCTATGGGCTCAAATGAATGATGGGTATACAAAAGTTTTCGATTGATATATATATTACAGTTTTTGAAACCTGTGCCTGGTTCTGTAAGGATACAATGTATTTTTGCTTAGTTGCAACCAGTTAGCATTACGTAAACCACCAGCGCCAGAGGATATCGAATCATCGACGTTTCTTTTCTGCGTTTCCTCTATCTCGCTCTCGTGTATTTTCCTTGTCGCTGTTCGTGTCGCAAGCTCTCCTCTTGACTGGGTAGGGGAGCTCTCCGTCGGGCGTCTGCCTTGTCGGCGTCAAATCCAGGCATAGGAGGTGGTGGAACCGGCATGGCAAAGCTTCCGGGCGGCGGAGGCATGCTTCCCGGTGGTGGGATAAGCCCAGGGGGTAAGGCTCCTGGAGGTAGGGCTCCTGGTGGCGGGAGGGGCACACCGGCCTTCTTCATCAGCTCGAGGAGTTGAGCTGGATCTGGAGGATTCTTGGGATCCAGGCCAGGTAAGGGGGGTGGCGGTGGACCACCGTTGAGTCCAGGTAAGGGGAATGGCAGAGGAGGTGGAGGAGCACCTGAGCCGGCACCGACACCAGGAATAGGAGGAGGTGGAATACTTGAGCCAAGGCCTGGTAGGCCTCCACCAAGAGGCAGTCCAGGAATGCCAGGCAGTCCGGGGACAGCAGCTTTCGGTGCGTCTTGGTCAACAAGAGCGTCCATCTCGTCTTCCATCTCTTGTTGTTCCTCCTCCTGTCGCTGACGACGGTTACCACGGCGGTCCCAGGTTCCTTGGGCCTCGGCCGCTGCTTCACCGATATGGTAGCGATCCTGGAAAACATCTGTATCACCAGGTCTAGCACGGCTCCAGAAACGCGTAATACGGTCATTGGATCCTGATGCAAGGATGTGTCCAAGAGGATGCCAGTCAAGAGACCAAATAGCATAATCATGAGCAAAGGGCACCTTGTGCATTGGCCATACTGACTGAGCGGCTACTGATGACGGTTCAGGGCTGTCGTAAGGAGCAACGGTGAAGGACTGGCCAGGAGGCGGGTTTGGTGAATCGAGTAGGTAGTGGAATAGCGAGCCGTCCATACCACCAGTGCTGAGAAGATTAGGATGGATAGGATGCCATGTAAGAGTAGAAATATCCTTCTCGTGACCTTTGAGAAGGCAAATGTCACGCATCATGCGAAGATCGAAAACACGAGCGGTCTGATCTCTTGCAGATGTCGCGAGGCAAGCCCCACGGACCTTTTCAAACAGTACTTTTGTAATAGTACTCTTATGGCCGTGTAGAGTCGTTAAACAACGACTCGTACGAGGATCCCAAAGCTTGACAAGATGGTCCTTAGAACCAGATACGAGCAATCCTTTAGTAGGATGCCAGTCCACACTTTTAGCATCCCATCCGTGACCTTCAAGCTTGGATTCCATTTGTCCCAGAGCAAAGTCAAAGATCTTGAGGGTCGAGTCATCGCTTGCAGTGACAAATTTGGAATCACTTGGGCTGAAAGCAAGGTCTCGAATAGGGTCAGTGTGGGCGTTGATGCTCTGGACATTGTTGAAGTTTGGTTGCCAGTACTTGATAACTCCGTCGTGATCCGCCGAGATAAGCCAGTCGTCACTATGTGAGTATTCCAGGGCACGAATGGCGGAATCGTGAGCCTGCATGATGGTTTCGAAATTGAAGCCTGTTCCGTTCCATAGTGTGAACTCGCCACTAGTCGACGCTGTTAATAATCTTCGACCTTCTGGTGTCCAACGCACCACATTGATGGGGTGCTTGATTTTGTTAAGAGAAGAGTGAAGGTGCTTAATAGGGATACTGTCCGCAGCTTTTGTGACACGCGCTGCAGGTGGAAGTATCTGTTTTGGTGTCAGTGATGGGGCAGTTGTTCATATAGAACGCTACTCACATCAACGATATAGCTAACACTAGGTCGCTCAGCTTCGCCAGTATATCCTCCCTTATAGCTAGGGGCACGATCATGTTGCCAGTGTGTTATAGTGGCACCATAGTCAGTCACAGGTCCTGGAGTTGAAGCGTCAGTTTGAAATCAGTTGTGATTTATGTCTTCAGGTTATGATGTATGTGTATTCGAATGCCTCTCTCATAGCCCTAGAAAGAACCCCTGCTTTTATGCATGAGGTTGGCCAAAATCAAACATCTCGATTGCTCGTCTAAACAACAGTCGTTCCTTGAACATACATGGAACAGAGACATTTGATGAAGTAGCATCTCTCCCACAACTTTCATATTTTTCTGCCACTGAGCAGCTTGGCAATGCAAACACAACAGGAGACATGTCACTGAGTATGATGGGTAAACTTACGCCTGCCTCGAACCTTCACAAACGCCCCATCTTGGCCCTGGCCACCACCATGATCACCACGAGGCTCATAGGCCATCGTGACGAATTTTCTTTGGGGTATCAAGCATGCACAATAGCCTTCTTGAGAAGCGCGTCGCAGGGAGTGGGTCTTTCAAGATGGAAATGAACAACCAATGCAGCTATGAAGTCGTTGTTGGATAATCTCTGAGTAGCTAGTCAGACGGAGATTCTATATGGCGATGATGAAAATTGAATTCCTGTAAGAAGACGTTGGGGGCGGTAAATTGATTTGATAAAGAACGAACAAAGACAATGCTGTTACTCGAGGCGCGTGAGCTTCAGTTGAAGTTCAAAGCTACGAAGCGCCGATTCAAGCGACGATTAACCGGCCAGCCTCAGTTTTGGAGTCACGCCTTTCTCCAAAAACTCCACGTCACATGACCTCTCTCTCCAAAACTTGGGACTCTCTCAACGGTTAGATCTGATGAGATAAAGTGCCTCTACTAAAAACATGCACATGCGTGAATATCCTTTCGTATACCGAATTGTTGGGGCGCAGATTCGTCACCCACGGGCTCTACCCGAGCTTACTGCGTTAGTTCGCTCATGATTGCTGTTGCATCTCACCAACAGTATGCAATACAACCGCACTTTCACATGCTTTCACATTGATATCAGTCGCAAAGTTGCAAGCCTTCTGGGGCCTGCGACCTGTTGCCGCATACCTTTCCCCCTGCAGCGCCACAAGCCAGTGGGCTCGGGGGAGTTCGTCGATCCATTAAAACGCTCAGAATGCAGCGGAAGCCAGGGGTGTTATGCTCCCGGGCCCCCCCTTTAGCGTTGATGATTGTCTTTAGCCTCACTGGAAAAGTCCCTGAGCTGCTGCTAAAAATGATCAAAGCGAAAAAGCTCAAACAGCCCCGCCAGAAGAGGCGCCAAAATGGTTGTTCTGCATAATAGTAGGTAATGTACTTGGCGAGATGGGATAGGAAGTGAGGAGAGTGGCCGTTGCGAAAGAAACTCAGTCGATTGATTGCTTTTAATTGGAATGCCCCTTCTACCTCCTTTTTTTCTCGACCCTTTATCTCCTACATTCCTGTGGTTTGATAAACTCTTTAACGTGCTCTATCTTGAAGCTGTAGGTGGTTCATTCGGTGCGACAGTGGCGCCCTCGGTATCTTATCATCCTTGTAACAATCGCCGCCACCCAAGCAACTTGACGTTAACAGGGTCGTCGTATCTCCGTCGGCAACTCTGCTCAATTCTTTCTTTTGTTTTCTTTCTCCTAATTTCTTGAGCTTCTACTTTTTGCGCGATTAGTCTGCCGTCTAGGCAAGGCTCTTATAAAATGAATTCGGCTACAGCGACGAGTATAGAAACCTCGAATGGTTCGGCCTCTGTCTCCCGGCGCAGCGGCCACGACGTCACACAGAACAAACCCAACAATCGCACCAACGGAAACGGTAACGGAACTGCCACGACGACAACCCCAAAGAAGCCTGGCCAGAAGTACAGGCACGTAGCTGCGGTCCACAAACAGACGAGGCCTTCATGTCTGAGTCACGATTCCGATGCTGCTCCAAGCTTTATTGGGTTCCGTAACCTCATGGTCATTGTGCTTGGTATGGAAGCTTCAATGCCCCTCATCATGATGTTATCTGTTGGGTTGTTAATGCTTGGCAGTTGTTGGAAACTTGCGATTGATGCTTGAGAACATCCAAAAGGTATACTTCATCTCCCGTCCATCAATTATGCCTTCGACAACCAGCTAATACAGTCTATAGTATGGAGTACTGATCTGCGTGAGGTGTCATGATTACAGCCGTCAAGATATTTACTTGGGTCTACTCCTTTACTTCCTCATCCCATGCCATCTCCTCGCCGCCTACTTGATTGAGCTGGCTGCTGCTCAGCAGGCTCGAGGATCTCTCAAGCGTGTCAATGATTCACCTTCTGGTGGCCCCTCAGAGCAGGAGCGCAAGAGGTTTCATAAGACCTGGGTTGTTGTCGCATGGGCTCACCTTTTCAACATTACTCTTGCCCTTGTTCTCACCACTTGGGTCGTATACTTCAAGATCCACCATCCTCTCATTGGTACCTTGACCGAGATGCATGCCATTGCTGTTTGGCTCAAGACTGCATCATATGCCTTCACCAACCGTGACTTGAGGCATGCCTACCTGCATCCTGTGGAAGGAGAACGCGAACTGGTGCCTGAGCTGTACACGCAATGCCCGTATCCCCAGAACATCACCTTCAGCAACCTGGTATACTTCTGGTGGGCACCCACACTCGTATACCAGCCCGTGTATCCTCGCACAGACAAAATCAGATGGGTCTTTGTGGCCAAGCGAGTTGGAGAAATTTTTGGCCTCAGTGTGTTCATGTGGGTTGCGAGTGCTCAGTATGCTGCACCTGTCCTTCGAAACTCGCTCGACAAGATTGCCTCCCTTGACCTCATGTCTATTCTGGAACGGCTACTTAAGCTTTCGACCATTTCCCTAGTCATCTGGCTTGCCGGTTTCTTCGCACTCTTCCAGTCGTTCCTTAACGCCCTAGCCGAGGTTTTGAGGTTTGGCGACAGGTCATTCTATGACGATTGGTGGAACAGCGAGAGCTTAGGAGCATACTGGCGCACGTGGAACAAGCCTGTTTACACGTATTTCAAGCGTCATCTGTACATGCCCATGATCGGGCGTGGTTGGAGTCCTCAAGCTGCCAGCTTTGTAGTCTTCTTGGTATCGGCTATTCTTCACGAGATCCTTGTCGGTGTCCCTACACATAACATCATTGGTAAGTTTACATATCCCAAATCATAGTTACACAACTGACGGTCGCAGGCGTTGCTTTCCTGGGCATGTTCCTTCAACTGCCACTTATTGCATTGACCAAGCCTCTTGAAAACATGAAGCTTGGGCACACTGGCAAAATAGTTGGCAACACTATTTTTTGGGTATCATTCACCATATTTGGACAACCCTTTGCAGCACTGATGTACTTCTACGCCTGGCAAGCAAAGTATGGAAGTGTCAGCAAACAGATGACGACAGTATCGAGTTAAAGTGCCTTGGCTACGGACAAAGTTTCTGGATACTGTTTGGTATTGCTCAGCTAGCATATTTACCGTATTGGCCCGATACATATTTGATAAATTATTATTAAGAAGTCGTTCGCCTATCTTCGTACATACTAGATTTTACCATCTTGAAGACTGGCATTAGGGATGCATTAACATGGCGAAGTGCGAGGGCATTCATTCACCTCAACCGTCAGATTCTGTTTTCTAAAATTTATGTTGATGAATTGTAGGCATAAACTTGGCCTAGTAGGCCTTATGACAGTAGCCCCAAGACTTGGTCCTATTGCAAGTAATCTGAAAAGCATTTCTAGTCTTGGCTGTATTTACATGCGCCTATGGCTAGATCGCTCCCCTCTTCTCTCACATCTTCTAAGCGATGAAAGGAATCTTTGTTCCCACTCTCTTCCGATATTGGACATAATCATCTTGGAAGAACTCAATCAACTTGGCCTCCTCGTGTTTAATTCGCTTGCTGAAGAACATCCAGAGAACAGCCGCATAGGCAAAGAAGCACAGAACGTTGCCCATTACTAGCTGTGTTCCCAATCCCCAGTAAAAGAATCCAAAGTAACTTGGGTGGCGGAAGATTGAGTAGATGCCTGAAGTCACCAACTCGTGGGAATCCTTCTTCCTGGTCTGAACATGATGGTTGAAACTGGCTCCAGCTTGCAACATGGCCACTGAGCGGACATACTGTCCGACGGTGACCATGACAAGGCCGAGGAGCAGAAGAATAGGACCGGTGCCATAGGGTGCCCAGTGTCGATTAGGGAAGAAAAGGTTAATGATGGCACATTCGATAAACGCAGCTGAATGGGCGATGGCGTATGCTGGCCAGTTTGCCGTCAAGAGAAAACTTCCAATGCTAGCCACAAGTGTGTTCTTCTCAGCCGTAGTCCAAAACTCGAGAAAGTGAAAAGCTGAGAGTGCAAACAGGAAGAATGGAACACGCCAGACAGGGCTAGAGGTCAAAAATAGGATAGCCCCCATGGAGATAGCACTACAAGCCAAGGTGATACCGAGGCAGAAAGCTCGAAGAGCGATACCGGAGAGTGACTTGGGCTGGCCTGCAAAGTAGGGCTTCAGGATCATGAGTTCGTCCAGAGAGCGAGTGTTGCCGGAGAAGGAGTCATGATGAGCAGGCGATGCTCGATGGTGAGCAGCTGAAGGGCTGAAGTTGACAGGTCTAGCGCCCGCGTTTTGCGTGGTTTCAGGCATGGCTTTCTTTGATGAAAAGTCAGAAAATAGTCTATATGATCTCATGAGGTCTTCAGGGGTTGGTATAAAGCTTGATGAAAGATTAGATGACGAGATGAACGTACAAATTCTGAGAAGAATCGTGAAAAGAGAAAGGGCCGAAAGGCTGTCTTTGGCACTGAAATAAAGAAATGAAAAGTTATTACTCAGAAGGCGTGTTGGCCCTCGTCCCCGAATGGCGTCTGCAGTCTTGGATTGTGAGGCAGAGAACAATATCAAGATTGTTGGCCTTAGCTCATGAGTTGGGAGGATCTGAGCTTAGTGGATCTTTGTTTGTTTGTTTGTTTGTTTGTTTGT